AATTTAAAATAAATTAAAAGTGAACTTCTAATATTTTTTTCAAAATCTAAAAATTGTGACAAAATAAAGGATAAATGGGGAGAATATTAAAATATTTATTTTCATAATATAATAAAAAAATTGTTATATTAAATTTAAAAAGGGTTATAATTATTACAAAAAAATCGTAACAAATTCAAGAAAATATTGGGAGAATATTTAAATATTTATTTTAATATAATAATTAAAAATTTGTTAAACAAAAATAAATAAATAGAGAGAATATTAAAATATTTATTTTTATGAAATAATTTAAAATTTGGTAAACTTAAATAAAATCAAAATAAATAATACAAAAACCTAAAACATGAATATTCAAAAACTAACAAATAAATAATTAAAAATCAATATACAATAACCCAAATAATAAAAATAAAATAAATATTTTAGTAGTTCTTATGGGTTAAAATTTTGTAGAGATAAAGAAACTAAATTATAATAATAAATAATAAAATAAATTAAAACAAAGTACAAACAAAACAAGAAGCTATTAATTTGCTTTATATCCTGCTTTTTCCTGGCAATTAAATTCCGCCAAAAACTTTCCCTAATTAACTTTGTTTCTGCTCCTGCCTTAGCTGAGACACAAACCATTGGCAGGACGCAGGACTCGTTCCTTCCGTGTTGATTGCCTCTACCGAAATTAGCCATAAAATGTGCTGCGCCACACACTGCCGCCATCTGTGGGCTTTCGTTTGTATTTTTTTTTTTATTTTTTTTATTTTTTTGTTTTCCCCCCAAAAGACAGAAATTAAATTCTGTGCCAGAAATTAATTTTCTCACGTTACCCAAGCCGAAATAAACAATTAAATAATTGAAAACTAAACTCAACAATGGACAATGGACAATGCCAGCAGCGGCAACAACAATAATAATAACAATAACAATAACACCAACATTAGTAAGTAATAGTAATATGATAATGACGATTATAATTCGCGGCTAATACAAAATTCCCCCCCTTCTTTGCCACTTGTGTACGGTAAATGCAATTTAGGCTACTCTTTCAAATTGGAAATGGTGGATTTTTCAGGTATATTTGCTAGTTTTTAGGATTTATATTAATAATTTGTTGTAATATTAAAAATTAATAATAATAAAATTACCTTTTAAGGTTACAAAATGGGTTACATCAGCGGTTTTTAGGGTTTTACTTTTTTTTTAATTTATTTAATGCTTACCAAAGTATATATTTTAATTATTATCAACAGGCGAGTCAATTTAGCCTTTTATATTATAAAATTAATAATAATTAAATGAAGTTTTAAGGTTAAAAGGTGGGTTATATCAGCAGTTTTTAGTGTTTTACTTTTTAAAATATATATTAATTATTATCACCAGGCGAGTCAATCTAGACAAGTCTCTTGATCAAGGATTTTTAGGGATTTTTTCTTCAGTTTTCTTTTCTCTGGCTTTAAGTAAAATTAAACTATTAATTTATAATTCATAATTAATAATAATAATAATAAATTTATTATTAAACATTGAAGTTTAGTTTAGTTTCCCCCCAAAAACCTAGAGTATTTGTCATTCTTTGCGTTTCTTTATTTTATTAATATTTTTTTTGAGCCCATTATCGCCCGCCTGCCATTATGCCATTGTGTCGCAATTAAAGTTTCAACTAATCACACGGCAACAATTGTGTGACAATAATATTTTTAACAAGATTTGTTCAGTGCCCGCTTGGGCACTTGGGGCCGACAGCGAAACAACTTAATTACACAACAATAACCGGGCTGCCTGCCTGTTTTGTTGTTATTTATGCCATTTGATTTATTATTATTTATTACTGATTTTCTCGTGCGATCTTCGTTTGGCAAGCCAAAAGCAAGCCTTGCCCGTCACTCATCATTCATCTCTTAAGCCAAGTATTGCCCAAAAATAATATAAATAATAATAATAATAATAATAATAATCGGTGAGGGAAGCCCACACAAAAAGTAACTGAACTTTAATTGTTCATAATTAAGTTTGTCTAATTGTGATGGCGATTGTGTATTGTAGCATTGTCTGTCCCCTCTCCCAAGACAATAATAGTTAAGTAAATAAATCTCGACACATAATTGACAGGCGATTTTTGGTCAACTTTCGCACTTGAGTCGGTAATTGAATCATTCAACTACCAGAAGTGTGGAGAGCAACTCAAGCCGGGGCACCCGGTATCTGAATGTGAATATATATATACACAGGGTACTACTATATACCTGTATTATGTTCCCAGGTAGTCGGTCGGTCGGGCTGTGTGAGAATTGCACGTCAAAATATTTGCAAAACAAAAGCTTAAAGGTCCAAGCTTCTTGGAACTCGCAGGACATGAACACAATAAATAAATGGGGGGGAAAAAAAACACAGAGACTAAGACTGAACTGTAGCCAATGGCTGCCAGGTGGAATCTAGTTCTTCTCGAAAAAATATATATATAATAAATAAATAAATATCTTGAAAACAGCAACGATATCCGATTTCATTCGAATCAAACTGTTGAGGAAATTCAATATTTATTTTGACAGCAGGTTTCCCCTCTTCGGTAATTGTAATTGCAAGTTAATTAACAATCAAAAAGGAATCCTAAATTCCTGTAATAATCCTAAATTCGCTTTAAAAACAGGCTGAATGAATCATCTTGTCTTCTCAAACGAGAGCAGGTTGTATGTATTTCAAAGAAAGAAATAAAATATCAAATTACCCCGCGAAATTCCTCAACTACGCACGCCCCGTCTCTTTCATAAATTGCTATTGTCGTCTCTTTCTTCGCTGGCAGACTGCGTGGATCCGAGCCAGAAGAATTCGATCCGTTTTAATGCGATTCGCTTCGATTCTCCTCCATGTGTGTTTGAGTGGTGGCTTCTCAAATTGCTTAATTGCCGCGTGGGTTCTCCGCTTGAGGGAGAGCTCACTGTGGTGGGGGCGTGAGAAAAGCCACAAGAGAAGAAAAGAAAGCTTTGCATTTTGGATCTATTAAGTTATAATTATTAATGAACCTATATAGGGTGCTTAAATTTAGAGTTTTTACAGTTATTATAATTACTTTTAACTTACTAAAAAACAATATAGAAAACGTTTCTGATTATTATTTCTTCTTTATACGAACTTTAAGCAACCTTATTATATAGATTTTCAAAAATTACATTAAATTTTCTGTGTATTTGTCTAATATTTCATATCCTTTATCCGTTTAGGCCTTGAAATGCCTATACCAAATTTCATAACAATTGAAGTTGATCTTGGTGCAATTATAATATCATATTCCTTGAGCCTTTCACGTCCTAACTTACATAATTTACATTATATATATCTTCCTCTCCTTTTTAATTGAAAGTTTACATAATGTAATATAAAATCTATTATTAGTCTTACAAAATGCCCTCATATCAGCGATTTCTAAGCTTTGAATTCCCCGAAAACCCTTGCCTGTGGCCTCGGCAAGGACTCTCAAAGCTTAGTCCCAAATTTCAGGACAATTGCCCCACGGGAAGCCGAGTTCCTTGAGATGAGGACAATATAAAGTTCATATATCTAAGTCTCTTGCCGCTGCCTTTGCTTCTCCACAGCAATCCCAAGGGCTCGATAAATTTACCAACTGCGCAGCAAAGGGAATGGAAGGATGATGCTTTCCAAAAATTCCAAACACACACACACATACTTACACAACACACACACTACGCCCTGCAAAATGCTAATTTACGCATTTTAATAGTAAAAGTTTTTGGCGAAAATTTTAATTAGACTGCTTTTTTTGTTGAGAGTGTGTGTGTTTGTGTTTGTGTGTGTGGAAGCCATTGTTAGGCGGGCGACAAGTGTCACAGCAGCAGGAGCAAGACCAGGACCAGAAAAGCAGGAGCAACAAAAACAATTGCAACAACTGCATGTAGTTTTTACAACCGAAAAACCCGAATCGGCGGCACTCGTTTTTTGGGCCATAAATTGGCGTCCTTCATTGAAACGAAAGAGAATCCCCCGAATCCTTCGATCCTGCCGGCCTTTCTCTCCCTCTCCCTCTCCCTCTCACTCTCTCTCCCTGCCACCAAACAACCCTGCCCATCCATACACTCTCTCACTCGCTCACTCACACAAAATGGGTGCCGCACACACTCTCGCATTGCGGCACGCACACAACGATAGCCAGCCTTGCCACTGGAAGCGCTTTGGAAGCGCTGGAAGTCGTTAAGGGAGTGCAAGCAGTGCGACCAGCTAACAACTGGAAAGCTATTGTCGCTCTGCTCACTCCAAGGCACCGACTCACGTCGCTCATGCGCCATGTTGCCGAGGGGAAGTGCCTGCTATAGCCGTACTGCTCGCACTAACAGATGCCAGAGCAGTCCAGATAGCTGTGCGACCGAGACCGCCCCTGAATATTTACCGTTGCCGGGCAGAGCAGTCGACGTTGACGGCGCAGTCAGCGTTGGACTGACTGCGACTGTCGCGAGCGCTGCTGCTGCTGCTGCTGCAGATGCTTGCTGCGATTGCTGCTACTGCTGCTGCTGCTACTGCGTTTGCCATGATTTGAGGTCCTCGCAAAAACGCGGCTCTCGCCTTAGCCGCTTTGCCGCTTGCCGCTTTTACCGTTTCAACGTTTTGTTAACTGAATGCGAATGCGAATTGCGTACTGCGAATGCTTTTCCTGGGCCAAAGCCAAAGCCAACCACCAGCAACAGCAACAGCAACAGCAGCAACATCACGTCGCTTTCTCGTTGCTGCGACGACAAAACTCCTGGTGCACATTAAGTCAGGCAACAGTTTAACGTGGAAATTATTGCGAATTTGTTGTGTGTTTTTGCGCGTGCCACAAGCTTGACAAAAAAAAAGGAAAAAAAATATATAAATAAAGAAAAGGCTCTTTAAAAAAACAGAGCCGGGCAGTGCTTTAATTTTTTTGTTCTGTTGTTAATACGGGGCGGGAAAATGTCGTCTTATTAAATCTTAAAAAATTATTAAATAACAAATTAAAAATAAATTACAAAATGCCGCAACGTTCGCCGTTTGCCATTCAGGAGCTGCTTGGCCTGGCTGTGGCGGCAGCTACCACAACAGCAACAACAGCGCCAACGGTTACACCAACAGAAACACCAACAGATTTAACAACAACTACAACAACAACAGCAGCAGCAGCAGCAGCAACAACAGCAATAACGGTGAAAGAGCGGCAAACGCCAACGCCGCCAAAGATAACAACAGCAGCAGCAGCATCAGCAACTCCGGCAACAGAAGCAACAATAGCGGGTACAACAACAGCTGTTATGGAGCCACAACAGCACCTTCAACAACAACAACAACAACAACAACATCAACAACAACAACAACACCACTACAGGGATCACCATCAAATGACCATGGCGGCCGCCTCCCGTATGGCCTATTTCAATGCCCATGCAGCAGTGGCAGCAGCCTTTATGCCCCACCAACTGGCCGCTGCTGTGCACCACCATCATCATCACCAGCATCCTCATCCACATCCGCATCCACATCATCCGCATCCACATCCGCATCCGCATCACCCAGTCGCTGGAGTTGGAGGAGGTGGAGTGCCGCCACCGCCGACCCTGCAGCATCATCATCCGCATCATCCGCACCATTCGCTGCTGCATGCTCAGGGTAAGTGTCGCCACAAATTACCACAAAATATATAAAATACATAAAAAAAAACACTATTAAAATGCTTAAGCTAAATGTTAAATTATAAATTATTGTTTATTTGATTAGAACATTACCTAAAACCAGAATTTATTACAAAAAAACCTTAAGTTTTGGTTGATTTTTATTGACTAAAACTTCGAAAATCACTGAAAAGAAATGTATTTAAAATTCGTTTTTAAAATGTTTGTATTAATTATAGTTTTATTAATGTTTTATTAGCGAAAACTACTTTAAAAACGATATATTTTTAAAGGGTTTAAGAATTATTCCTTACTTAACTGGTATTTTATTTTATTTCTAGATAATATTTATACCTTTAGATTTAAAAACAAGAAAACTTGAGCAGATAAATAAATAAGAGAACCTTGTTAAGGCATATATATTTCAATAAATAGTACCTTTAAAATCGTAATCCCAAGATCTAAATTCTTGCTATTAATCAATAATCTATTGGCCATTATATTCTAAATGCAAAACTTCCTCTCTTTTTTTCCCCTGTACACAATGACAATCAAAGTTTAAGCGCAATTAGCAATCGCAACTGGTTTTGTCACCTGCCAGACGTAAAGCGTTTACAAATACAACTACACAGATATATATATATATATACACATAATACACAGACATTAAATGCGATGCGGTGTCTGGAGTGCCGCTTAGTTAGCATAAAAAAGGAATTAATCAACGGGCCATCGTCCAGGCAAATCAGCTTTGGCCTCAAAGCCCCGCCACAGCCTCCAAAAGCACTTCACTCGAAGGCATCGGTACTGCCACACACACACACACACCCATTTCCTCAGCTCTCCTTCAACTCTCCAAACTCCCCAGCTCACCACTCGCCACTCAAGTTGAGCTGCTAATTGCAATGGCAATTGACTGGGCGTGTGTGTTGGTGTGAGAGAGTATGTGCAAAGTGTTGCACTTCGATTTCAGTTGTTGTAAATGAAATCGATTTATTAGTCTTTTCTAAATCTATTTGGGGTAAAAATAATGTTTTTTAAATATGTTAATTTACTTTTTCTCCTTGAAAAATAATTTAATATTTATATTTCATAGTTCTAGATTATTTCTACTTGTGAGCTTTTGTTTAAGAAGTCTCCTTCTCTTGATAAATGATTTAATTTTAATTTTTTAATATTTCTAGATCATATATACTGTGATTTTTTGTTTAAGAACCCTCTTTCTCTTTATAAATGATTTAATATTAATATTTCATAGTTCCTAGATCACATCTACTTGTGATCTTTTGTTTAAAAACCCTCTTTCAAGCTCTAAAAGTTTACATTTTGTACATTTTTTCCGCTTGTTTCGAAGCACTGTGTTGGAGCTTTGTCTGGCGATCGGCTCAAGGCAATGACATATACACTCACACTCAGAGAAAAAACCCACACAGTCTCAGCAGTTGCTTGAGTCGCTCGTTTTAAAGCTGCTGAGCAGGGGCAAGTGGCAATATCATCCCAAGTTGTGGCGATGACAGCCAAGGCAGGCAAACAGAAAGGCATGGACACTAAATAATATGCAGAGGGGAGTGCTACACAGCTAGAAAATATTTTAACTATATTTTCTAAAAATAAATCATATAAAAAGTATTAAAAACTGAAGCCTTACCATGAAAACAAAATGATTATAGGGTTTATTTATTAATAGAAAATGTAAAAATTTGCAGAAAATATAAATAAAATGTAAAAAAGAACTATAAAATCTTTTTATGTACTAAATAAATCATTAAAAAACGAAATAAGGTTTTATTTATTCCACTATAATTTATTTTATAATATTTAAACAACAGAAACCTACAAATTTGTTTTCTTATAATAAAAGTTCTTGAATTTATTTCATATTTTTAGCTTTCTTTACAATTTTTAATATTATTATTTATTTTTAAACCTCTTTTTTTTCTCCCAGTTCAGTGAACGGTTGATAATCTTGCAGATTCAAGTGGCAGCTGTTATTATTGTTATTATTATTTTAATTAGCGTTGAAATGTCATCGTCATCTCGTATCGTCGAGTCTCGAAATCCCCGATCCCCAATTGCTCTGATTCACTGTGCCAATTTCACCGCATTTGATTTTTCGATTTGTTTATGCCGCCACTTCCGGACCCTTTTTTTGTAAAATTTTTTTTTGTAAATTATTTTTTATGAATTCTTTTTGCAGTCTTTACAGCTTTCTTTTCCGCTGGTTCACTCATTCCACTTTGTTCGCCTTTACTTTAATTATAATATTTTTTTTTTGTCGTTTATCGCACATTTCCACCGCAATTTGTGTTTAATAAATGTGAGAAAGAATGCTACCCTTAAATGCAAAGAGTATATTCATTAGATATTAAGTTTAATAATTTAAAATAGAAATATTTATATTACTTTTTTAAGTATTATAATGTATAATAATAATAATAATATTTTTTAGGATTTAATTATATAAAATCGTACAAAATGTGTTTGTATCACCGATTTCTAAGCTTTGAATTTCCCAAAAACTCTTCCCTGTGGCCTTGGCAAGGACTCTCAAAGCTTAGTCCCAAATTTCAGGACAATTGCCCCACGGGCAGCCGAGTTCCTTGAGATGAGAACAATATAAAGTTCATATATCTAACTCTTTTGAAATAGAAATAATTATATCACTTATTAAAAAATCATAAAGCTAGCTGCAAATTATTTATAAATTAATTAATTTAATAAAATCCATGAGAGGTACTCTCTCTTCGAATGTATAACTACCTACTCAAAACATTCTTAGTGCTTATGTTATGGTTTTTTTTTTGTTATTATTATTTTGGTTGCTGTTTGCTTTCTGCTTTTCATTCGCGTCATCGTATTTAATTTTGCATATTGTTGACTCGTTCTGCTCTTTATACAATATTTTTTATACATATATTCATGGTTTTTTTTCGGGTGGCTACAGTTGTTGATTTTCTACCAATTTGCGTGGCTTGGGGGTTCGCCAATTTAGCCGGATTTCCTGTCCGTCTAAAACTGAATTTTACACCCGAAAAGTCAGTCCGAAGAGGAGCTGCCGCCATTAAGTGCCTTTGATCTTTTACCAGACGCTGGCTGATGAAAAGGAAAACTAAATCGGAAAATTGGTTACCCAACAACAATGAAGAAAACGAAAAAAAAATTAAAGAAAAACCAACATAAAGCTGAGAAAAAAAAAATCGTACAACAAGCGAAAAGCAATTTTTTCTTCGTTTTCCCTCAAAACATTTAATTGACAATTTTCACTTTGGCTCTGCGCATCGTTGTCGCTTTGTTGTGACAGTCGTTTTGATGTGTTTGCACACACACGCACACCCAGATACACACACACACCCCGTTTTGCCTTGGTATTTGTGCACTTGTCGAGCTGCGAACAAAGGCTCTGCATATTTCGCATTTTGCCAAATAAATCGAGAACCAAAATTAACCATTTAGGATTTAGGTTCTGCCAAGGCGCCAATATTAATATATATATACTATATAGATATATACATATATATACTGTACTATATCTATTTATTAAAATATACATACCTGCCTTTAAAAATTCTTTTAAAATTATTTTACATCTTTTAAATCAATATATTGCTTAGTTATGCCAGAGATTTTGAAGTAGTCTCTTTTAAATTCAGTTTTATTTACCATTTTATATTTATTTTCCAAAGTGAAATATTTACTTTATACCTTTGTACCCTGTAAGTCTATAAATAAAATAGTTTTCTTTGTAAAATAGTTATTTTAAATGCATCATTTTAATAATTTATAATTTAAATAATTTTTAATTTTAGTCAGAATCTTGCAACCCATTGAAGCACTCATTTCCGACCCTATAAATCATATATATTCTTGATCAGCATCAACAGGCGAGTCTTTCTAGACATTTTGGAGGAAAAAAAAATTGTTTCAAAAATTTATAAGGGGTTACATCATTAAAATTTTTCAAATTTAAACAAAATTTGAATTTTTTTAGACGTGAAATTAAGTATGTAGATTTGTTAATCTAGAAAAAACTAACAAAACACCGCTTTTCAAATTAAAATTAAAGCTTTTTTGGCTTTAATTTGTTCCAAAAAAATGTTACAAATTTTTGCAAAATTTAGTAAAAAATTTACATGAAATGTATTTTTTTTTTAAGCTTTTATTTTTAACTAAACCCTCAAATATTTATTTTATTTGGTAGTTTTATCAAATGGATATTTTTTAACATTTACCTAATATTATTTCACACAAAAATTAATATCCCAAGGTATTTATTAAAATATAAATTAACCAGCAAGCCTTAATTATAAATTAATATGTAAACAAATACAAGTTATTTAATATTATTTAATATTATCTAATATTATATATTTATTTAGTATATTTTACATCTTTAAATCTCTTCAGTTTTAAGCATTGCTACCCCAAAAATTTTTAGTAAGTTGTTTAATTTATTAATTATACAATTATTTAGCTTACATCTCCTTCAATTAATGCTTAGAATATCGATTTTATGGCCGCTGTGTTGCAATCGAGTGTCGCCGGAACTGCTAATTGCTGCCTGTCAGCTCTCTCCCCTCCCCAAAACCTCCAAGAGTATCTCAAACTATAAACCGCCCTTTGATATTTGAGCCACTTTGCTAATAGCCTGGCCCCCTCGGTTATTATATATGTTTGTGTCTCCCAGAGAGATCTTCTCTCCTTGGCTGATAAAAATATTCTTAATTGTAGTTTTCGCCTCGGACACAACAATGTGTGCGGTCGGTGGGTCGGCTGTCTTTTGACTTTGCTTTGATTTTGCTTTGACGTAAATTAGAAAAACGACTTAAAAAAAAAGAAGCAACTAAAAAATGTGAGAAATACGAGGGAATCGTTGAGTGGAAACCCCTTCCTGCCGCCGCCTCTCCACTTTTAACCCCTTTGACCTCACGCTTTCCACGCGGCATTGTCTGAGGTGTGAAAAATGTTTCTCGTCGGCGTTCAACGAGTGCAGTTATTGTTTCACTTGGTTGTTGCTGCTGCACACTTTTCCTCATTCTTTTTTATGTTGTTGTTGTTGTTGCTTTTTTTTTTTTTGCATAATTTTTGTTCGTTTTTTTTGGGCACTTTGTCACACTTTTTCGCTTTGATTTTTTGCGAATTTAAAAGTCAATTAAAGCAACTTGACGAACGAAGTGCCGAGTGCCACTCAAGGGGTTAATTTGTCCGTGTCGCTGTGTGTGTGTGTGTGTGTGTGTAGGGGTGTGAGTGTTTCTCTTGTTTTTTTTCTGCATTTTTTTAGTGTAAGTGTGCAGCTTTTGGTTCACAGCAGCAATATTTCGCATTTAAAGGGAATTAGCTGCGATTATTTTGAAAATCAAATGAAATTTATTCACAAAAAATGTGTAAAGAAATAAATTATGAATTAATTTAATAATTTTCATTTTAAAAAATATGAAAAAATGACTGAAATAACAAACATAAATTATGATATAATAATAAAAACAATAAGGCTTTATTTTGAATTTTGTTTTTGTTTTCAAGTCAAGTTTATATTTATTTCAAATTTAAAAATATTTATTTTATATATTTATCTGTGTAGTAAAAATGAGAAACCAATATTTTAAATACTTTTTTTTATGATTTAAAAGGTTTTTAGTTAAAAATTCCAAATTCTAGATGAATTTCTAGTCTTTTTCCGAAATATTTTTTTCATTTAAAATTCCAAAAATTTAAAAACACTTTCTAAACCATAAAATATCACAATTAAACGTATTACTCTATATTTTTATATTTTATATTTTTTATTGATTCCATATAGCCAAGCAAAACTGTATATGTGTTTATATACAACCATTTGTATTCATGTATTCATAAGCCAGATTTTTGTGCCTCGTCACAGGGCAATCAGAGCCGGGCAATTCGTGCTCTAAAAACAATAAAAATAACCCAACAAAATCACAAGTAAATTCCAAAAAGGGGCTTATATGCCATAGTAAGACCCCTTTTAAGGGCACGCCCCTGTGCTGCGCTAATTTTATAACGCAAATAAACACGATTTAGCACTTGAGTTACCTCGGCGGCTGCTTTTGCTTCTTCAGCGGCTCGAAAGTGGGATTTTGGAGCGGATTTGGCTTGGACTTGTATATATATATACATTTTTTTTTATTTTTAATTTTTGAAACTGACATTTTCAGTGGCTTTCACCGGCAGCAACACACAGCAACAATCAACAAAACTACGACTGCTAATTATTCATGAACGGCCATCTATCTGGCTATTTGGAGTGGCGGCTACTCAGCAGTTTTTTTTTTTGACTGGAAATTGTTTCAATTGCTGGCCACAATTGTGATTCACCTGGTCCAGAAGTGAGTGTATTCACTTTGGTATAAAACGATAAAACACATAAACGGGGAAGACACTCGGTGAATACACTAAAAAAGTTGATAGTTTTGCATTGATTTTAACTTTGGGACAAGAAAAGGCAAGGATTTTGCATTTATGGAGAAATGAAATTATTAATTTTAAAAATTATTAAATAATTATTAAATTCATTTGCTTTCTCTTTTATATCAAGCACTTTAATTTGTTTTTATTTATGTTTTTTGAAAGAGCCTTTCTTGATTTATTATTTTTTATTTATTTATTTATTATTTTTTGTTGATTTATTTATTTTTTATATTTTTTATTCATTTATTTATAATTTTTATATATTTTATTGATTTATTTATTTATTTTTTTTTTTTTTTTTTTTATTTATATTTATATTTTATTTATTTATTATTTTTTATATTTTTATTTTTTTCATTTATTTTAATTTTTGTTTTATTTATTTTAATTTTTTTTTATTTATTTTTTATAGTTTTATATTTTGTTTTATTTTTTTATGTATTTATTTTTTTAATATTTATTAATTTTCATATTTTTGTTTATATATTTATTTTTTTTAATTTTTTTATTCATTTTTTTATTTTTTATATTATTTTTATATATATTATATATATTTATTGCCTTTGGGCGCCGTTTTTGCAATGGGTTTTTAATAAAATAAATAATAATTATATATATTTTGTAAGGCCCCATTAAATTCTCAAATTACACTGCTCAAAAGTCTCTCTTTTATTAATTAATTCACTTGATTTTCTCTCACGACGCCAGAGATACGTGTACTCATGTACCTCGTTGTCGAAGGGGGACTGGAGGAGCGGCTACTTGGCATGACCGCCGGCCGCCGGCGGTTGCTCACGATCGCCTTGTGCGGTCCCGGTCCCCCCCGCAGTAATAGTTTTCCCCTCCTCTTACCCCATAAGTATTTGCTGGATTTTTCCCGCTTTAAGTTCGTCGTAAGTCCCCAACCCTTCCGTTCAAAAAATGGAGAAAAAAAACGAGACCCATATCAGCTATTGTCGGGCGTTAATCAGTTTATAAATACTTCGTCACTTGCAGTTTTTCCCCCTTCTGTTTGCGTTTTGTTGTGTTTTTTCTTTAGATTTGTTTTTTATTTGTTCATATTCTTTAGAGAAATTTTTGCGCAATATATTGGATATCAAGTTTCGCCAGCGAACGGAATTCCTGGTAGAGAGCTAATAAATGCGGTTTGATTGTACGAAATCATCATCATTATTATCGGGGGTCGTTAGTAGAATACCCTAAGGGGAGGGTAGAGAGGGTATACTATACATGGATTATTATATTTATTTAACTATTATTCAAGATAGAATTTATAATATATTTTAAATGTATTATTATTATTTTTAGTTCATTATTATTTCATTAAAATATAATAAATAATTAAAACTGGTGTTAAAATTTCCTAAATAATATTATAGTAGATGATTTTTATAATTTTAAAAATGTATTTTATCTAAAATATTATATTATATAATTTATAATTTATATAGACCTTAAAAAATGGTAATTTTTCAACTGACTTTATACCTTAACTGTTCCAAAAATTATTAGAAAAAAATTTATAAATAAATTCTATGAAATAAATAAATTAATTAATTAATTAAACCTTAGCCCAGGGTATCACAACATTGTCTTAATTGAGCTGACCTTCTCTCACATTACTTTTATTGATATTATTATTATTATTATGTCGGAGTCCCTATTGTTTCTTCGATTCTCGAAATGCGTCACCGAGAAACAATTGAGGGTAACGCCAGTCGCAGTTTCAGTCCCCGAAACCCAAAAACCCTCTGCCGATCCCAAAAACCAAAAGAAAAAAAAAAGAATAAAATAAAAATAATAATAAAAACAAAGCGAGCTCAAACGAGACGAACGCCTTGAAACAATGAAACATCGACCAGAAATTAGCGCGGTTGTCTGTCAAATTTGATTTTGCTTTGATATGTCACTCCCCTTTATTGTTGTTGTTCTTATTTTTTTTTTTCGTTGCTCAAGGGGTTGGAGGGGGCCAGGGGGCTAAGGCGGGGCTCTAGGGGGAAACTGCAAGGAGAGCTTCGCCGGAGAAGGAGAGTCTCGATTTTGACATCGAGGTCGTCGATTTGCATTTCTGAGTGTCGGCTGTACACTAAGAGGGAAAAATTTGCCCAGAATATAGTTAAAACATAATTGATGAATATTTAAAAATTAAGGAAACATCTATAAGCTATTTTTATATATTTATAAATTTAATTTAAATATGTTTTGATTTTTTTTTAAATTATTTTCACGAAAAATTATTCTTTAGACTTTTTGTAGGATTTATTTTTGTTTTTTTAATTTATTTGTTATGTTTTTCTCTCAGTGTCAGCCATGTGCATGCATCGTCCTTCGTCTTCTTCTCAATTTATTGCGTTGTGGGGTTAATTCAGAGGCCCTTGTCTGGCTAATAAATGCCAAGCAAGATCCATGCCAAGGGGCACAGTGGATCCTCAGCAGTTAAAATATATATTTTTAATCGTTATATATTTTTTATAATTTTTTTTAAACACTTTAAATTAATATTATTAAATGATAATTTTTTTGGCAAGTCTTAAGTTGTCAAATATGATAGTCTTAATATGTTTAAAAAATTTATTATATTATTTATTACATTTATCGAGCTTAAAAGTTTAGAAATATTACATTTTTGACAGTTTTTAAGATTTAATTTTACTTTAAAATTTGGAATCATTTTTTTGGAAATACTAAATCTTAAAAATTTAATAATTAAGCCAAAAATGCATTAATTTCCATTCGGAAAGCTGTTCTGTGCTAGTTTTTATTAGGTTAAAAAATCAGATTATTAAATTTAAAAATCTAAAAATTTTAATTTTTTCGATTTTTTTTCTTACATTTTTAACGATAAAATTTTGAAAAAAAATTTAAAAAATTTATTTTTCCTCAGACAAGGCTTAATCGACTCAGCTGTTTATGCTGATCAAGAATATATATGATTTATAGGGTCGGAAATGACTCCTTCACTGATTTTCAAGTTTATGGCTTAAAAAATAATTCAACCCGGCAAGGGTATTAAATATATAAATTTTATATAAATATATAAAAATAAGAATAATATTTTAAAATTGTATAAAATGTTTGAAATATATTTAAAACATTAACTAAAATTTAAAAATCTACCTAAAATTAAATAAACTTAAAAATTTCTATTAAATAAAATTTAAAATCAAACTTTAAGAAAATATAATCAATAATTTTAATAAAAAAATAAATATATAAAATATATTTCTCTGTAAAAATTCACTAATGCTTTAATTAAGCTTCAAATTATTATATTTTTAATATTATATATTATATTTTTAATATTTTCTCTCCATTTATTAAATCCTAATTTAATTATTTCCTATTTTTTTCAGGATTTCCGCAGCTAAAGAACTTTGCTGCCGGAGCCGGAACTTGTTTGCCCGGTAAGTTCACTTGAACCTTGAACCAATTAATTCCCAAAGCCCAAAGGTAGGCCATATATATATATAATATATATTTAAACATATGCAAATCCTGCGAACCCTTTGCCAAACCTGGCGAATATCCTTTTGGCCGCCAGAGGTCGCTGCGGCCTAATTAATGGGCATTCCAGCGCTTCATTTCCAGAGTCCTGAGGGTCCCGGAGGGGGCGTGGCCCGGAGAAGGGTTTTCGCCAGCGTAAATTTCACATGTCGCGCACATAAATTCTCCAAATTGCTAATACAATAAACAATTTAGCTAACGGAAAAGAGAGAGACAGAAAAAAGAAGAACACACACAAAAACACAGACAAAAGTCAAATAATGAAATTTTCATTTTCATTTTGTTGCATTCGTAACGGGCAATAAATATTTTCAACATACGCTTTTATACGCAATTTGCACGCGCATACATCTCTCCTCACACATCCTCACATGTCCTGCGTGTCCTGCCGTCTCTGCCTTTGTATGTGTGTGTGTGTGTGTGTGGCTCAACCCTTTTTCACACACACACACACACATATATATGAAGGAAAACGAAAAGGAGAAACAAAAGGCAAAAGAAGTGCAAAGCTCACACACACATAAACTTGTCTAATAAGAAACGCTCTGAAAAACTGGTTTGAGTTCTACAGAGGAGGTGTTTTTTGAGAAGGGGGTTCCCCGGTAAGGGTTTAAGACGTCAAAGGGCAGGGGTCGCAATGAGTGCGCCAATAAATTGAAATGTCTGCCAGTGGAACGAGCTATAAAGGCCTCGACATATGTCAGCACATCAGCCAGAAATGATGGAATACCTGAGAGGATGAACCCAAAGAACAAAGGAAATCGAAGAAAAGTAAGAATTTCTTAAATATTTATGTTATTTTTTTCTATAGTTTCTATATTTTATTTTGGAACTTAAATATTAAATTTAAGAGGTAACGAAATATAGACTTATTTTAGTTTTTGAGCAGTGGAAACTGATTATTACTAACTTTTATTATAATAGATCTATGATATGGGTTATTTATTTATTTATTTATTAATTTACTTCTTTATTAAGGAAATATTTATACATTTATACATATATTAATTTATTAATAAATTAATTTATTTATTTGGTAATTTATACATTTCTAAATACTTATTTTTTTATGCATAAATATCCTTTTCTGAACACTTACAAACTTATCCCATCAGAAAAAGCCCTTTGCTATTAGCTTACGTAATTTTTTTATAATAAAAATTTGTTATTAAGAATTGTATTTATTAATTTATATGTTTAAGTATTTTTGCAAATATTTTCAAGAGGCAGAATGATTTTTCTATCTTCATTTCTAGAGCTTTCTCCCTCCCAAACTATGCTTAAGTTATTAGTAATTAAAGCTAATTTACCTTTCATATCTTCATAATCACATAATTTCATTTAAATTATACAATTTATAATTTTAATACTTAATAAATTTGATTAAAATTATAAATTGTTTAATTTAATTACCCTAAAAAATATAATATTCCCATATTAACATATTAAATAACTCGCTTAAGGCTGTTGCATCCTTGTGGCCTGCATATCTAATGAGTGCTCTTAACTCTTTCATTTACTTTTTTTTTGTCGAGATCTTGGGCCTACTTAATTGCCCTTTTGTTACTCTTGTTGTTGTTGTTGCTGTTGCTGTTGCTGTTGCTGTTGCTGTTGCTGTTGCTGTTGCTGCTGCTGATGATGTTGCTCCTCCTGGTGTGCTGTGAGTGGCTCCTCTACTAAGACTCTAATCTCCGACTGGGCCCGGCAACACGAACTTGGCCACTTGGCCACTTGGCCGCGCATTCTTTCCATTCTGTTTTTATGAGCGAAGTGCCCTGCTTGAGTCCTCCTCCACTCGACGCGCCTGCATTCTTGCAGTGCGCTGGGGAAAAGTCTCGGGAAAAGCCGGGAAAAATGAAGGAGCAGCAGCAGAGTACGAAGGAGAGCCACTTTTGAGCCATTTGCTGCGAGCAGATTGCAAGACAAGATTACACAAAAGCCAAATGGAAGAGAGAGAGAGAGAGAGAGAGAGACTGGCTGAGACTAAGACTGACAAGTAGGGCAATTTGCCTTGAAAGGGGGGAGGTGGCCAAGTGGGTGGCGGACTGCATCGTGTTGCACTTGTCATGGCCAAGATTTTAATTGGCATTTTTTTCCCTCCGTTGTCGACTGCCCCCCGCCACCAGAATCCTTTCTTTCCGAGCGTGTCTAAGTTTTATTTGCTGGCCATGTCGAATGGCAGGCTTCCCTTTCCTTTTCCCCAGTTCAAACCCTTAATTGAAACACGAAAGACAAACAAAATAATAATAAAAAAGAAAACGATGTATAAAAAAAGAGTTGTACACACCACACATCATCACACACACATGTGGTGTGTGTGTAGCGAAACCAATCGCATTTCATGTCGCACCAGTTTCCTGAATGCGTAAACATGTTAACCGAAGATGGGTTAACACACAGCACGGGGGTGACAACAAAGGGTTAAAGCCTGGCCACCTGTCCACGGAAACATTAGTTTGTCTCTTCAGAATAGAGATATCAGGTTTATATTGGAATTTAAATAAATATCTTTAAATTTAAACAATATATTTATGAAAAAAAAAAGTATTTTTAAATTTCCTTTCTATATTTACAAATTAAATAATATTTAAATTTAAAATGTATCAATTTTTAATTATATAATAAAGTAGTTTCTTATATAAAATAAAAATAGAATATTATATTACATTATTTTTAATATAATATTATTATTTTAATTTATATATAATATAGTCTATAATTTTAATATTTAAATTAGCTTGACCTCCTCTGACCCTGCAGTTGAGAATTCTAGCCTCAATTTTCATAGCTACCTCTATTTTCCACTTGTATTTCTTTCTTTTTTGTATTAATTTCTATCAATTAAATATTTTTTCCTAATTTTTTCTTTAATTTCTTTTAAAAATCTGTAAATTTTCATGTGCTGGCAACAAAAAGTGAAAGAGCAAAAAGTTAATTGCTAAAATTGTGCTATTCTTAGTTTTTTTTTTTGTTTGCTATTCATTATTGTTGTTTTATGTGTTGTTGTTGTATTTGTTGTTGTTGTGTTTGTTGCTGCTGCTTTGCACTTAAAGTAAAGTTCGCTAAGTTCGCCTTGCGCCAGTGAAGCGGAAAGGTGGCCTGAAGTGGGGCCAAAAAGCGAACGGAGGGAAGAACCAGTGTCATTAACTTGGCTATTTTCTAGACAAAACTGATATTTTATAAGGTTTAAACAAAATTTTAGCAATGATATTAAATAAAAGTGTGAAAAAATAATTAAAAAATTGATAAAAAATAAATAAAAAATAGATAAATAAATTAAATAAAAATAAACAGGTTATTAGTTGGTTTGGTTTTTTGAAAAATATTTTAAGTCTAAGGCTTAATCGAAACACAAGAAGTTATACTAAATATCAGGGTTCAGATTTTGGACTTGGGAATTATAAGCAATGCCAAGTTAAAATCGAATCAAAAGCCAACTCGTTTTTCTAAGATTTTTCTAATCCAGAAATTAATTTTCCTAAAATTTAACACTAGTTTCCTATTTAATTTACTTATGTTATTTTATTTATTTATTTTACTATTTTAAATTAACAAGTGTAGCCAGAATTTAGCTATTTTTAGTAGTTAGTTGTTGCCCAGCCCTTGTGAAAAAAGTGACAACAGCAATCACGCTAAACAACTTTGACACAAAGCTGGCTAAAACGCTGTTGTACCCCAGGTGGGTGGCCACTTCAAGGTGTTAGACTACCTCCCTCCCCCTCCCACCAAACACCTGCCTCCGCAACAATGGAGCTTTTGCTGCAAAGGCAAAGGCAGTCAGTCGCACGACAAGCTAGGAATCTAATTAACAATTTTCCATTGAGTGCGCAAATTACGAGGAACAGGAACGAAGAAGGAGCGCGCCAAGGATCCATCCGTTCGAAGGGGTTATCCTCCACCGACAGAGATAGAGATAGTGAGAGAGAGAGGGAGAGATAGACACTGAAGAAAGAGACAGACAGCAGCAATTAGACGGCGATGAATGCTGGACAATGTCAAAGTGAATTTCCTGCATAAATTCCAGACAACCCGCCTCGATCCACCAAAAAATTTGCATTGGCCAAGAGTTAAACCAGTTTTGAGATTTAATAGGGAAGAAGGAAGGTAGTAAAGGTATCAATTTAAATATATAATATATTTTAATATAAATTATTTGGAGTTAAACTTTAGGGAAAATTCCTATATAGAAGTTTTCTCAAAACTAAAGCCTAATGTCTTGATAAGGATTTCTGCTTTACTTTAATATGCGATTTTATTATATTATATTTTAATATTCTATTGGTTTATATTATAATCTATTCTATATATCCTATAAAATCTATATTTCCCTCAAAACCCTAAACTCTATCAACAAAATAGATTTTTAAAATATATTAATTCCAAAAATGAAAGATATCTTTTAAAATAATCTGTTATCTAAAACACCTGTTATTTGTATTATCTTATTCTTAAATATATTCTAAACTTTCAATAACCCCATATATCTCAATTACCCCCCAAAATAACTCCATAAACCACCTTTCAAATATAATCCCAACGACCTCTTTAAGTTAACCTTGTTGGCTTTAACCGACGAGAAAGTGAGCTCAATGGCTGGCAAAGTTGCTAATTGGAGCATTTACTGGACCCCTCGCTATATAGCTATATATATATATTTATATATCCTCTTCCCCCTTTGCCGATTTCTTGCGTTTGTGGTTTCTGTTTGATTCCTCAAGCAAATAATTCAATTTCGTTTCTAATTAGTACGAAAAAGGCGAGCGAAAAATGAGCAGAAAACCCCAATGGTAGGGAGGAGGTGAGGGGTGGTGAGACGCCCACACCCAGGCACACACACTCTGGCACACACACACACTCTGTCACACATACTCGCACAAAAACGCAGCCACTTTGGTGCTAATGCAAAAATGCAAATTGCGAATTTGCGGAACTGTGAATCCCCTTCAGTGGCGGCGGCTCTGTCTCTGCCTCTGCCTCTGCCAGCGTCGACGTTGCGCCGCGCTGCTCTTGGCGCTGGCAACTCAGCCACTTTATTAGCGTATTTTGCCATGCAACTGTTTATGCGACACACACACATGCGTACATACATGCACACAGGCACACACCAACCCACACCCACACCCACACTGAGGCGAGGAATTAGTCATTTTGTTGGTTACTTGATGCATGGCGTGAAAAGCGGGGAAAAGCGGGTGCCGGGAATGTCCGGAAAAATATGTGGATGGGAGGGAAAAAGGAAGGGGTGGTGGGAGTTGGGGAATTTTCGGGAGGAAAACGCAGTAGAAACGGGGCAACAGTAAAAGTTGCACACAGAGGAAAAGGTCCTCATTTTTGTAGAGATTTTAGAAGTTATTTTTAAGATTGTGATATTAAATAAAAGGGTAAAAATGTAAAATTTAATTTATTAATTTATATTATTTTTTATTTATTTGATATAAATTAATAAATTAAATAAAATATAAATATTATATTTTATTTATTAATTTATATTATTTTTTATTTATTTTTACCCTTTTATTTAATATCACAACTTTAAAAATATTTTTTTTAATCTCTAAATTAAAGGCAACATAAATAAGAAATCTATAACAGAAAAGGTCTCTTAAAAATATAAAATAAATATTATTAAAATAGAAAATTAGGAAAATATGCATTTGAAAAGAAAAGAAAAAGAAACTATAAAAAAAAATCGATTATTTAAAATTAGAGCTTGATTAAATATACACTAATTATAAATAATTGTTTAATAGTATTCTAGTTTATATAAAAAATAATAAACTTATAGCATTTTCCGATTTGATCTTTGAAATGTAATAGAAAAAGCTTTTAAATATATTTTTCCCCGGGTGTAAGTGTGGCCAGGCTAACAAAAATGGCGTTGCAGGAACGTCAGGGAATGGAACGGATACGAAAAAATGGGATGGTGGAAAATGAAGAGGAGCGAGTGGATAGGGGGGAAAAGCTCCCCATCTCTCTCTCTCCCCAAGAAGCGACAACATTTTTTATGCGCTTTTGAGCAAATTAGATTTCCTAATTAAATTTTCTAGTGAAATGCGCATAAATTTCATAAAATTCACTTGCCGGGAAGCGACTTTCTTTGTGCAAAGAGCCAGGAATGAGAGAAAGAAAAGGATAGAGAGAGAGAGAGAGAAAGCAGTAGAGAAAGCAAAAGGAAATGTGTGCAAAAGAGACGGAGGAATGTGCTGTCGCCTTTCATTTTGTTGGCGACATTTTTTTTTTTTTTTTGCTCTGGCATTTTTCACAGCTGACGGCGTCGTAGTCGTCATCCTTTCGTCCTTCATCCTTTCGTCGTCGTCTGCTTAAAGTAATTAACTAAGAAAATTTTAATTGCTAATATGTTGTGATGCATGTGCGTGTGTGTTAGTATGCATGTTGGCACGCTGCCATAGGTGTGTCTGTGTTGGTGTATGTTGGTGTGTGTTGGTGTGAGCTCATTAAAAGCCAGCTAGAGATCCCACGTTGCCTACTTTTGTGCGCCATGGAATTAACTAATTCCGGTCTTTGTTTTATATTAACATAATTGTTAATTAGATTTTGGACGAATGCAAGCTGAAATATTTCTCTTGGAAAAATTTAAAAATTAAATCTCCCAAAGAGATTTGAAATCTCCTATTTCCATGCCTAAAACTATGCTGCAAAATATGTAAACTCCAGAAACTCAACCTAATTGGGCAATAAATCATTATTAGGTAATGGTTAAAATATCAATTTTCAATTTGTGAAATATACACCACAAAACGTTAATTGAAAGAACCTTATTTCCTTTTCTTATTTAACGAACAATTAAATTTTTCCTTAAATATTTTCCTGAATTTGCTGACGAATTGGCTTCGACTGCATTTCACATGCCTCTGGTTGGTGGTGGTGGGTAATTTAAGATGCAGTTTTTCAGCCTTCATTACACGCATTTCCACAGCATTTTTCACGCACATTTCGCCGGAAAATAAGGGGGAGCAGTGAGTCAAGGCTTCTACTTTATTTTTCATATCGGATTTCAGTGCAAATTGTTGTTGTTTTGAATGTGTGTATTTTGTTTGGTTTTATTTCGGTTTTTGTTTTCCTCACTTTCCCAACGAGTGGTCCAGACCACTCGATCATCATCATCATCATCATCGATTTGTGTTTTGCTGTTTTCCGGGTGCTTCAGGCCACAACATCGATTTGGCCAAAACACACGGCTGTTTGGCAAAAAGTCTCAAAGTCCTGAGGTCCTTCAATCCGCTAAGTGGCGATTTGGCCTTAGAAGTGGCTTCGATCCTACAACTACTCTCCGGCTTTGATTCCAACTCTTGACTCCAACTCCTACTTCGACACATCTCCAGACTCATCAGGGGCCTCATCCTCATCATCAGACCGTTTAGTAAGTGTGTAGACTGCACTGCGAGAAAATATTTGTAGAGAAAAAAAAAAAAATACAATAAATAAAGATAAGGAAAAGGAAAGGGTGTATGGAAAGGAAGGGTGTCTGGTGACTTAAAAAGTAACTTGAGAGATTTCTCAAAGAGTTTTAAATTTATTTAATTTAAATATATATATTTTTCATAATAATAAATATTATTTTTCCCTGTGCATTAACTCCTCTGCCACTCGTCGAAAAACTCCAACTCAAATCGCGTCTGTCAACGCTGCTACCGCCGCCTGTCAGCTCCTTCCTTCGATCCTCGCTTCTCCTCAGTCCTCAGTCCTCAGTCCTCCATCTCCTGCTCCATGCTCATCTTCATTCCCAGCTCCCTCTTCTTCTCTGTTTCCCTGCCCATACTCCTTCAACGCTTTCACTTTTCCCCGCCTTTTCACGGCCTTCTCAAGTGGGGTTTTCCTTGGAACAAAAGATGATGTGCGGTGTGACAACCCCAAAAAAAAAACGAAAAAAATAAAAAGAGAAACAAGGAGACGAGGAGACGAGGCCCCCGACAAGTGGGAAACTAGATACATTTATTAAATATTTAAAATAACAAGCCGCTAAAACCACTTCAAGTCGCGCTCCAACGACATGTGTTTTTCCATGCTGAGAGGGGAAACTTCAGCAGCGGGTTTTCCGGCAGCGATCGTGGGATACACTCGCCAACTAATTTGACAAGACTAAATATACATATAGATTCTCAAGGAAACAGAATATATACAATTAAAAATAGTTGTAAAATAATGAAATATCCTTTTAAAGGCTCTCTGGCGCCCAAGGACTTTGGCATGGAGGGACTGAACGGCTTCGGTGTGGGACCAAATAGCAAAAAGAAAAAGAAGAAGCGTCGGCACAGCCGCACTATCTTCACCAGCTACCAGCTGGAGAAGCTAGAGGAGGCCTTCAAGGAGGCCCACTATCCCGATGTCTATGCCCGCGAGATGCTCTCGCTGAAAACAGAGCTGCCCGAGGATCGCATACAGGTGAGTCACCACCATAACATACCATTTCATATGCCAGGTAATTTAATACAGGTCCATTGTCCATTGTCAAAGGATATCTTTTGTCTGTGTGGCTTTGCCTTATTTCCTTAACGAATTAACAAACTAATTACATCCGCCGGCGTTGAAGGAGGTGTTTGCTGTTGGCAAAACAAAAACTCGGCCAGGGGAATTTGCATTTCCTTTCAAGAAGAAGAAATAAGGAACATAAGGAGATATCCTTTTGTTTGGATGTCTCTGCTCTGATTTTTCACACCTCCTACAGCAAAAAGCATTTTTTAATAATAAGCAATCGGTTCGTGAGGAGAATCTCTGTGAAGTGCAGCCTTCTACTTGGAAGGGAAATCGCTTATAGGTAGTTGTCTTGTCACACTGATAAAAACGAGTTTAAGGAGCTCTAAAAATAGGGGAAAAAGTGGAATAAATTTAGAAACAGAAATATATATGGTATAATAAAAAATGCTCAACTTACTTCAAGAGAACAAGACTACAATTTCTGATTGTGCTTTGCCTTGCTCTACAAAACTTCAGGCTTTCTTCAAGTTTTACCTTTCTTTTTAAACTAAATTTGAATTTTTATTTATTATAAATTTATTATTATTTTATATATAATTATTTTTTTATATTAATTACTTAATTAAAGTGAGAAAAGAGTGTCATATAGGCATAGGTATAATCCAAGGACTGCAAACGAACGCAAAAATGCGAAAATCATTTAACGTTTAACATTCCTGTTGGGCAAGGGAGATGGCTATAGCAAGGAAATGAGAGATAGAGAGAGAGAGAGAGAGAGAGAGGGAGAAAGCTAGAGGGGTGCGAGAAAAAAACGTAGAAATTTTCAGCAACGTTTGCGAATTTATAATTAAGCATTTTAATGGCCGTTATTGTTCTAAGTTCGTCCTCCAAGGGAGGCAGAGCGAGATGCAGCATTCTCAATCGCTGTGTGTATGTGTGTGTGTGTGTGTGTTGAGTGAACTTCAGCCAAATTGCCACCCTTAAAAGGCAAAGCCCCCGTGTGTGTCTGTGTTTGATTAGCACCAAAAACAAAAAAAGGGGGAAAACTGTATAATTATGGCGCGATTTCTTCGCAAATTTGCCTTTTTTTTTTTGGTACTCACTCTCTCTTTGTGGCTGTGGGTCGTCGAAATCGTATGCTAATGGCAGGCTCTCTTCAAGGATCCGGGCACTTAATCGTTCACATGTGTATATATGTTTGTAAGCCGCAGGAAAGGGACTTCCTAGAGAAGCCAACACATTTCTATGCCCTTGCCCGGGTATTTCAATTTCAGTAAAAATCTGCTTTTGCAATGAAGAAGTCATTTTAGACCCTATAATCTATATATATATTCTATATATTTTATATATTTAATAAATAAACCTAATATCTCAGGCTTCAAAGTCATCCTTTTTCACCTTAAACTCTAAAATATCTAGCCATAATCTGTGCTAATTAAAATATATATATATATATATATATATTGGCAGTCTAGCAATTAACCCACTAAGCTGGGCCTTAACCCACCACTGCTGCATGCATACACCCACTTACGATTCAACTGCCATTCGGCATTCAGCATTCAGCATTCAGCATTCTGTAGTTGAAATTGAATTTCGAGTGTGTAAAATTTTTCAATTACAGGATATGCACATACACACATACACATAGATATATATAAACATATATATATGAATATATACAGAAAGAGCACCACTTTCGAAGGAGCTTTGTGGGATTGCTTGGGGGGCACATGGAGCCGTTGCTGTTGCATTGGGTTGCTAAAAGCGAGTCCAATTAGTAGCATTACTACTAACACTTCAATTCTGGCCACTACTGCGTTTGCCGTCTCTGTCCAACTCGGGCAATAACGGCAATAGTCAACAAGGACAACAGCAGCAGCAGCAACAGCAACAGCAACAAGGACAACAAGGAGTAGAGCCCCGGCGAAGGACAACTGAAGTGAAGCAATGGCGCCAAAGTACGGCCATTTTGTGTGCTCAGTTTGGGGAAAACCAAATGGGGGTTTGGGGGAGGAAAATCCTTTGGGGCAAAGGCTGCTGAGAGAGCAAGAGAGTGGGAGAGTGGGAGAGAGTCCTGGCAGCAGCGTAAATTTGCATTTAACGTTGTTTGCGGTGCCCACAAATGGAGTCTATCCTTGCCAGCACTCTCCTGCGTGGTGTGCGTGTGGGTTAGTGTTAGTGTTAGTGTGTGTTAGTGTGCGGCAAGGACTCAACAGTTAGACGGCCACAAAATACTCGGAAAGACCGACAACAACCGCAAAACGATGCACAAGTACAAGAGAAGCCACGACCCAACCAATACTCAATGCAATCAATGCACTGCCAAGGGAATATTAACAAAAATATATTTTTAAAAATTATAAAAAATTAAATTGAAAATACAAAGACAACTTTAACAGGTTAAGAACTAATATTTAATAATTTAGAAAAGAAAAATAGGTAGAAAAGTTTTATTTTTTAAGGCAAAAAGCAAGTAACAATTAATACTTTATTTTTTAGCTTACTTAAATACGTTATATAATGATTTAGAAAAGAAAAATAGGTAGAAAAGTTAAATTTTTTAAGGCAAAAAGCAAGTAACAATTAATACTTTATTTTTTAGCTTACTTAAATACGTTATATAATGATTTAGAAAGATATTTTTAAAGTAATATTTATTAATATTTTATTATACATTTATTTAGTTATATTATAAATAATTTTTGGCTTACAAATAATGACATTTTTTAAGCGAAAACCAAAAAGAAGAAAATTTGTATTAACTGTTTATTTTGGAATAAATTCTTAGATATTTAATAAGATAATATTTATAATATTTAATATTATAAAAAAAATTTTAAAAATTGCTTATTTTCACTCTAAACATATTAAACCAAATTTTCTTTCAGTGTGCCCAGTGTCACTGAAAATAACGGCACTATTTGCCAGCTTTAGAAATTTTCGGATTTTTGTGTTTTTTTTTTTTGGGCTGACAGCAAAGGCGCCCGAAAAACTAACAACACACGCACACACAGACACAGTCACGCACACATAAACAAATAAACAAACACTGTGAAATGCTCACAGACACACACACACATACACTATCAAAGTTCGTTCGTCGAATGCATTGCATATTTTCAGGCACTTAAGCTATTTTTCCTGCAAGAGAAACACTCGCACACATATGCAGATTACCCTGACACACACACACATACTTTTCCAGTTTCCCTTTTAGCATCTCCCCTAGAAATTTCCTCCAAAAAACCCCCTAAAGAAAGCAACCAAATACCCAAAAAACCCCCCTTAAAAACTTGTTTTTTTTGGTGTGTGGCAAAGGCAACTACCGACTACACACAAGTACACACTCCGTATTGATTTTAATTGAAAAATTGTTAATTTTCCATGCCAGTAGCAGTCTCTGCCACGCCCCCACACCTCACCTCTGTAACCCCTTTTGCCAACCGCCCACCGCCCAACTTTTCGAGAGACGAGAGAACTTGAGGTGAACTTTTTGTGCTGCCAATTTTCGCATATATACACTCGCTTGTGTGTGTGAATGAGTGTTTGCCTGGGTATTAGTTAGTGTGCCTGTGTGTGTGTGTGTGTATGAGTGTGTTTTGTGCCCGGGTAATTACACCTTTTCTGTGTGAGTTTGTGTGAATAAATTTGCAACCCCCTCACAAAAATTTCAGGACGAAAATTATTCATTCGCTTTTTTCGAGTTGACTTCGAAGAGGTCCTTGAGTTGCTTTTGGTGGGGAGGGGGGAGGTTACATACATATAGATTTATAGAGATTCCGATAAAGAAACTAAGAGAGGCAAGGATTCAAGAAAGAAATCAAGGACTAAGCCTATTCTTAGTATCTTTACTGTAAAATACAGTAAATTTACTATAAATTTTACTGAGAAATAAATTTATTTACTTAAATTATAAAGAGTATATTTTAAATATCTTACATAAAAGTAAATATATATTGAATATATTTTGTATAGTATTTTTAAAATATATTTAATAAATATAAATATATATATTTAATATTTTATTATAAATTATAATTAAAATATTAAATAAATATAAATTATGTATTAAATATATTATTTATAGTATTTTTAAAATATATTTAATAAATATAAATATATATATTTAATATTTTATTTAAAATTTTAGCTAAAAAATAAATTTACCTTCAGAGATATAAGCTAATACAATAATTTTCAAGATAATACTTTTCTATCTATTTTTTATATAATTTAAATATCCATTTGAGTCCCCCAAAATTTTCTCTCAGTGTTCGGCTCGGTGTGGGCCGTCTTTGGAAGTTCTACGAAACTAATTTACTCGAGTGTCGACGCGTCCAAGTGAACAATGTCTCGATGGAAATAGCTGGCTTGCCGGGGCTCGATCGGTTCGGTTTGGATCGAGAGAGAGAATGTGGCCGCGTCATTGGGGCAGCTTGTGTTGTTGCTTGGAGTAGCTGCAGTCCGATTGGCAGTTGGCTGGGCCTGGGAACCCAGCCACGGCCAGAAGAAAAGGCGGCCAACAACGGCAGACTTGCCGTAGACAGGTCGACGGGCCGATGCTGCCACTTGACGCAATGCCGTCTGCAACGCCGGCGATGATCGTGTGTGTCAGTGATGGTTATAAAAAATAAATCTAAAAATAGTCAGGAATTAATTTACATGTTTTAAATATATATTTTTTTAGGATTTATATATTTTTATATATTTTTTTTAAATAACTGAACATAAGGGGCTTTGAAAGAAGACTTTAAAATTAGTTTTAGTTATTTATACTTAATTTTTATTGGTACTTTTAATTAAATATTTCTTTAAAAACTTAAATTAAAAAATGTAAACCTTAATTTAAATTTTAAAATATTTTTTTTTTAGAATTTATTTATTTTAATATATATTTTTTAAATCCAGAAGACTTGTAAATGAATTTTAGTTATTTATTCTTCTCTTTTATTTGTACTTTTAAT